TATATATATATATATATTATATAGTAATATTGAATTCCTTTAACTTTTTGAATTAATGTGTTTACTTCTCTATATTTTAATTCACTCGAGTGAAAATTCTATCTCTGTCATCACTCACAATTATCATAAGAAGTATGTTTTGAGAATACAATGACTAAGTAGGCTTTTGATGCAATGACAGAAATAGAACCCACTTAAACTTTGTTGTCCTCATTGACGATGGTTCAATTTCACTCGATTGCTGAAAATTTATAAACTTTAAAATTTGAATATGCTAAAATGGAACAACTTGAAAGAGTGTTGTTTTGGAAATACCATGACAATATTAAATTATGGGTAGATACACTAAAATTTAATATGAAAAAAGAAGAAGTGGTACTGTAGCCAGCAGCAATAATAATGAAGGATCACAAGTTTTTGTAGTTTACTCTGAACAATACTGACTATAGTTTCACTGGCATATTAGTACACAACAACTCCTAGAGACAACCAACAAAACTCGTAGTAGAGTGGTAAGTACTCATTTATTCTTAATCAAGAGGTCTCGGGGTTCAAGTCTCTTTAGTATAAAGTCACCTTTGTTAGAAAGTGTTTTACCCCTGGAACTTTTCGGCGCAAATTCAAATTTAATCAAGTTTCAATGTGGATACCGAACACTGAGTAGGAAACAAAAAAAAAACTCCTAGAGACAAAGGGGGGTGGGTGGACCATGTCTAAAAATGGGGCATTTTCTTCATTAAATTACAACTTGTAATTATATATATACATCAGACAGTCTGTTCTTGATAAAAAGGAAAGTACATGAAAATTGCATTTTCTTTTCATGAACCCTATATTCAAATTGGTACCCACTAGAATGATTGTTACATCTCAATTTTAAACAAGTCGAGATTGGCTATGTGACGTTCATGACAAATGACGGGCTGATGAGGGTGGGACAAAGAGAAGAACTGATAGGTTCTGAAGAAAAAGTACATCTGACACCTTAGATAAATTCTACGTCAAAATGAAATAGGAAGTGAAGTGTTTTTTAAGGCAAGTTCACATGTTAAGTTTGTTCTTAGGCTCAATGATAATGTAGCTCAAGGGACAAATGAATCAGGTCATTTGCACTTTTCTCCCTATTTCGTGTTGATCTTAAATTTTTACCCCTCGTAGTAAATAACTTTTTTTTGTCGGACATAAATTTATATTTTCACATTACATTATTCCACAAGTCATGCCTCACGCCCTTAAGGAACGTATGCCCCGCTAGACATAAGTGTGATTTTTATGGACAAAAACTAAAAATCAATCCATTTTAAGGACAAACCGTGCAATTAAATGAATCCATGAGAGTTGTTGGCTTAGGCTACGACAACTTCTTTCATGTGTATTATTTAGATTCACCTCATCCCTTTTTAACATCTTCGTCGTGTATTAGCAGATGATATATACATGGGTTCGCGACGTATTGCCACTAGAAACCAAGTCATTGGCATTGAACTTGTAAATCAATTCATATAACTCACCATAATTTTTTCTTTTGAACTCCGCAAGTGTCAGCTTGCTAACATTACCGCCTCAAATTCAAATAAATAAGGAAGATTTAATTTGGTGACAATCCACGTAAAACTAATCAAATCATGATAAATTCCAATTGGTACTCAAAAAATAACCTCATACTTAATATACATATAACATAACAACTTTGATAAGTGAATGAACACATCAATTTATCAAAGTTGGTTGTGAATTGTTTTTTCCATTTTATGCCATTCTTCTATTTTTCTTAAACACCTTAATAAATACTACTATCATACCAATATGGGCCACCAAGACAAATTTTATTGTGTGTCATCTTATCTTTATGTTGTTTCACCTTCAATACTGCTGGAATAATTGTCCCACTGCTGAAAATTTCTCATTTTCACACTATTTCAACATGTAGATGTTGTCTTAAAATACTACTCAACTTCTATATTTGGATGTTGCCTTTAATGATCTTACAATGATGCGAATTTAGATTAGTCGAATTTTTGAATTTCTACAATAATTTCAAATTAATCTATATTAATAATAATGTTTAATTGTTAAATATTATAAATATTTGATGAGTTTCTTAGCAAACATCCAACACATCTTTCTGAATATATATATATACACGAATGGAAATTTCAAAATAGATACCGAACACCAGATTTATAAGATAAACCTAACATATGGTTCAGATGGGTGTCAAGGTACTGGTGTTACAACAAAAATAACTTTTTAGCCACAATTTATATACACATTAACAAAGAGTGTTAAAGTCTTTACTGACATTAGTTAAGTGTCATTAGATTCAATGCCGCTAAAAGCTTTAGGGACATATACAAAGAATGCAAATTGCCGCTCAAAATATATATATATTTAGCGACAGTTAAGCTATTGTCGTTAATTAATTGCCTCTAAAGATCATTTTTAATGTAGAGTGATTGATATTATGCCTCTCGGAACAAAACTTCTTATTTTCGAGGACATATATATTAAATTTGACCAATCATTAATTAACGAGTATTATTTATCCGTCTTTTCACAAATTTATTTCAAAATTTAATTATATATACCAAGTGGGAGTACTTTTGCATTATCAGTTTGATTTAAATATTGAATACAAATATTGTAAAATCTGCGATAATTTATTCCATTCAGATTGGACTTATATAAATTACACCAAATACATTAGTATTGTATATAAAAATTCACCCATATCCAAAACTAATAAAAAAAAAAGAAACTATCAACTCCAATAAAGAGGAGAGGGAGAAGAAAAAGAAAAGATGAAATTAAATTCCTAATAGTAAAGACAGAAATAAAATAAGCTTGGTAATGAATCAAGAAATGATAATAACATAATTGATAGAGTTATTAATTATTTCTCTCTTGTACCAAGGTATGCGGTTTGGCATCGATAACATAGGTAAAGTTAGAATTTAAATTTAGTACTTGAACGAGTTGGGTTAGGAATAATTTCAAGTATGGTCAATTTAGACGTGTTATTCATAATAGATCGTTATTTTAATTTAGGGGATTTTTATACAAATAGCCGGATAAATTTATTATATATTGATTATACAGATATTATACATATGTTGCCTATTTTTAATTTAATCAATTGAGTGGACAATTATTTTGGTTAATTTTTCTTATTTTGTGGCCTTACATTTAGAAGTTGGCCACTTTTTAGACCAATGGGTTGAATATTAATTTTGATCTAATTTTGAGAAATTGATTAACTTCTAAAGAAAAGGCCACAAAAGTAAGTTAATTTTTTGTTGAGTAAATCAGTCGGTATGTTATTTACATCAAATTGACTCATAGGGTGGCTTTAGAAAGCCCAAATAGACTAATTGACAAAAATAGATAAAAGTTTCTCCCTATAATTCCATACAGTAGGAGTACTATTTTTTAGTTTGATATTTGTAATTAAACAACAAGAAAATGTTTTTTTGTTAGATCATGAATTACCACCAACAAATATATATATATATATAAAACTGTTTTTGACCTTCTATATACCAAAAAGGATTTAGATGAACCCTTTGCGCCCCTCTAGCTCCATATCTTTAACTAAGTACTCATCATTATTCCCACCAAATTCTGTTTCTTTTATTTTTCTATACATCATTTAACGTGTTATGGTAGGTTAGTTACCGTTTTTATGAGGTTATCAAATTATTACTTCTTAAAGAGATTTTACTTACAATCATGTTATTTGATTGGTAAATATATATTTGTATATTTTTTGTACTTCACCCAATCAAAGAGACAATTTAAACAAGAATATATTATCATCTTTTCACTGGTTTGAACTAATGCATCTTATGTTACTTGTCTCAATAAATTCTCTAGTTTTCAACCTCTCAACAAGACAATTCTTTCTATGATCACAAGACATGATATTGCATTTTGGTTGCCTCAAATTTTGGTCCCTACCACATGCACATTGTTGAGTACCATATTGGTTGGTTGGACAAATTCTCGTCTCATGAGCAAGCTTTTGGTTTGAATTAGATCCGAGATAGTATCACAGTAAGGCCCAAACAATTCTTGTTTCACCTGATATATGTTGGGCTCTATCTTATATTGTCCACACTCGAGATATCCAATTTTCGGTGTCCTAGCCTCCTAGGGTATTGAATCCCACCGTTGAGTCCCACACCGGAGGGTGGGAGGCAAATTTATCTCTTTATATGGTATTTGGACAAACCTCCCGTGAACTTTTGGCACATATATCTATGAAAAGAAAAGTGTGGATTCATATAACTTTAGGCAAACAATGACATAACTTTACAGCATGATGAAAAGCTTAAATTCAACAATGCATTCACCAAAAAGGGCTGTAAATCATATCCCTACTTGTTCCATAAGGTGTTCCAAGTAGTGAAGTTTTGCACATGCTCATACAAATTAAGTGGAAAATGCACCCCACCACTAGTAATTTTCACTTTGACATATATTGAAACAAGAAGTATCTAGGAAATCTTCATCACACACTTTTTTAGCTAATGTCTAGTCTTGCACCTATGTCAAGTCCTCCAAAATTACTTTTCGGAGGATCCGACACACATCTATTGACATTTTTAAAGAGTCTGAGCAAGATAGATCTCCATCACACTATTTAGCTATGTTGCACTGACTCTATATAAATGAATCCACACCTGTGTCGAATCCTCCAAAAATGTGCTTATTTTTGAGGGATTTGATGTGCACCTAGTGACATTTTTGGAGAGTCCGAGCAACATACTTTTTAGTACAACATAACAACATAATTTCATACAGTACAATGTACATCTTCAAAGTCTTCATGAAGAATTCTCATTCTTTGGCATAGCAAGTAAGTAAATACATCTTGATAGTCTTCATGGCAATTTTTCACTCTCTCATAGCAAATAAGTTAAGTAAACACATCTTGTTTTACACATGAGAGTGAAGAATTTTAACTACATCAAAACCCCTTCAAGATGATCCAAAAGTACAATCAAGAAAAGCAAAGAGAAGAGCATAGTACCACTAGATCTCTTAATTGCACCAACAGAAACCTCCACCTCTGCATAAAAAACACAATGATTTGATGGTTAAAACAAAAGTGAAACTAACTTAACTACCTCCCACCCAAAAAAATAGCCGATAGATGTATAATATATGTATATTTAGTGTATAAAACATGTATATTAGCTAACGACTATAAATATTTTTGGAGCTAAGTGGCTAAATGTGTAAACTTACTACATTCTGTTAAATGGCAAAGACATCTCAATCCAACTCCACAATTACCATGTGGTTTTCTACACTCATCACAAGGATTTGGTACATGATCAATATCCCAAGATATCCTTGTCCCTAACTCAAATTTCACATTTTTCCCATCTTGATCATAAGTACTACTTTTATAAACTCTTCTATAATGTGAACATTTCATTTCTTTAAGATGGAATTCATTTCCCAAATCTTGAACATCATCAATCATCAAACAAGAAAAAGAAGGATGAGAAATAGTTAAAAGTTTGTTGTTGTAATCAATTGAAGAAATTTGGAAAAGGCCAAGAGAAGTTTTGAAGTATAAAGTGTTTGATCTACAAAGGACAAGGTCCTTCAAGAAAGATGATTTTTTTGAGTTTTGAGAAACAAATGGATCTTCAATCTTTATGTTTCCACAATAGATTTGTTTTGATTGTGATTCTTGAGAAATGGTTCTTGAAAAGGAAAAATTCATAAAAATGATCAAAAAGACTAGAAAATGAACTTTCTTGATTAAGATTTCCATGTTTTTTTGCTTACTTGATTCAAGATTTGATCTTTTTTACACTTCAAGAATGGTAATGAGAATATGCAAAATAAAAAAAATATAGATGAAAGGTTGTAAAAAAGAGGAATCAAAGAATCAACTTTTTCAATTTGCAGGTTAAAAATTCTATCTTTTGTTACTTATTATATTCTTTCAGCATCATTAAACTTTAGAATATAATATAATCACCTTTTTTCTTATTTTAATCTAATAAAGTCCTCCATTTTGTTTTCAGATTAGGAACAGCACAAGGGAAAGAGAGTTTTGGAGCAACGGTAAAGTTATCTCTGTGTGACCTATAGTTCATGGTTTTCAAGACGTGGAATCAAGGTAAGATTGTCTACATTACATCCCGTTGGGGTGCAGGAGCAACAATAAAGTTGTGTTCGTGTAGTCTACTAATCACGGATTTCGAGCTATAGAATCAACTACTAGTGTCAGAGTAAATTATATCTACATCACATGAACCTTGTGTGAACGTGAGATTCTTCGTTCACCGGGCTATCATTTTCATTAGCTACAAATATAGCAGACACATAGGTTATGAAAAGTCAAAAGTTAGATTTGTTTTGTAGTTTAAGTTATCTTTTTGCTAATCAACATTAGCAACAAGACATTAGAAAAAGGACACAAGTTCATCAAATATTATTGCAAGATACTTCATAGAGATTGATACAACTAAATGTGTACAATGTACACATTCAAAACACATGAAACCTCAAATAGCCTTAAAGAACATCAAAGGCGGCACATTTATGTTGCTTGGAATCTTCAAGAAGAAGCTTTGACACAAACAGCAGGGAAATTCAGTACCAAAATTTTTTCAACTACAGTGACAAAAATAGCCGAAAATTCGACTTCTTTCACAACACAAGCTTCATAATCTTCTTTGCTGCTGAATGTCATTATCATAGCATGAGTATAACCTTGTGTAACCATTTCATTGCTTTCAGTATCTTTTCCCCTGTCAAAATAGTTAAAAGAACCATAGTAGTTTTACCAATTATCACAAAAAAAAACTATGTGACTATATATACATCAAGACGAACAGTAACAACTAAGCTTCAGTTCCAAACAAGTCGGGATCAACTAAAATGAACCTATAAGAAAAATGTTACTTAGTATTTTAAGGACTATACCTAACATAAGACTTTCACAACATCAATTTCATTAGCAAGTTCTTTTACCAATTATTCACAAAAAAAATTGTGTGACTATACATCAAGACGAACAATGACAACTATACTTCTGTTCCAAATAAGTTGGGATCGGCAAAAATGAACCTATTAAGAAAAATGTTAACTTGACTTGACAAATATACATCAAAATAAACACTAACAACTACGCTTCAGTTCCAAACAAGTCGGAATCGGCTAAAAATTAACCTATAAGAAAAATGTTACTTGGTATTGAAGGACTTACCAAACAAAAGACTTGATAAGATCAATTTCATTAACAAGTTGTTCAATCTGTTTTAGAACATCTTCCTCTACAACATCTTGCTTAAACTTCACCAATAGCATATTTTTGAATTCATTAGCCATTTCTACTAGTAAAAAAAATATGCAAAATGTTTCACCAAAAGTCATCTATATATACACATAATTTGGTGGTTAATGATTTATTGTCTCTCTACCTTTACAAGACAAGGTTAAGGTTGCGTATACACTACCCTCTCCATACCTCATCTATGGGATTACACTGAATATATAATTATGTTATTATAAAAATATATCAAGTTTCGAACCATGTCTCATTAAAATTTCTCGATTATAAAAAAAAAGGCACTTGCTTATATATACACATGTAGTAGCAGAAGTTGTTTTCCTCGAGCTGAGAAGTAACCCCCCCACCCCCCATCCCCAAACATATCTTGAACCTTGACCAAGCACAAATTATTGTTTTAATATTATCATTTTAAAAAAATTGATTAAATAAACACTAATTCTTATTAATGATATGGGGTGCTAGGATATACCACACATGGAAAGCAAGGAATTGGAAGCAATTCAAAAGGATAATTTTTTTATATATTAGGAGAGAGTTTCAACATGTCAGCTTATTGGCATTAGATAAAAGTTTAAGGGTATAATGGTATTTTCAAAGATTAGTTTTCTTAAAAGGGGTTGTGTTTTACGCTTTATTCCTTAGACCACATCAACAGCTCCATAAAAGACCCATCATTTTCAGTTAAATTACAGATGATGCCATTTAATGTGATGGGACCCATTGAACTACACTACACTTATGGTCAGTCTGTGTTCCCTCAACTTTTTCCTTTTTTTTTTTTTTTAATAAAACAATTTAGGGCCATTGTCCATTGATGAGATTGGAATTGGTCCTAAATAGATTTTTTTAAATAAAATATTATTAATTCAGATTGAAAATGTATATATTAAATAATATTTTTTAAAGTGTTATATTACATTAAAAAAGTTATGAATATTGAAGATTTAATTAATGGTCTTATATGATTTATAATATGTTAATTATAAATATTATATAGTAGAGATAATTAGAAAATAATCAAAAAGTAAAATAAAGATTATGAATAGTAATTCTTCAATCCTCTCTATAAATGAAGAATAGAGAGTGAAATAGAGAATGATTGGAGAGAACATTCTCGATTTACTCTCTAAATATAGAGTAAAATAAAGGTGGATCGTAAGATAGTTTTATAGGTTTTTTGGTTTCAAGATATTCAATAATTGACAAATATGATCTTTAAATTCAAATTATGAGTAAATATAAATAATATTCTTCTAAAAAAATCATATAAAATAAAATGAAAAAATTCAATAGACTCCTTACGCTTCGGAGAGAATTTATTGTGATTGAAAAATCTTCCCCTACTATATTATATTTTTAGAAAATTGAGATTTAAAATTTAATTAAAATATCCATAAGTATATATAATTTATAAAAATAAATTATGCATAACTTATCCTAATATTTTGTATATAAATTTTTATAATGTTGGGCCCGTGCTGACACGGGCCATTTTTTCTAGTTTAGATACATAGATGACTTTTTCATAGATTAAGGGTGTGTTTGGTATGAAGGAAAATGTTTTCTTGGAAAACAAGTGGATTTCCTACTTATTTTCTCATGTCTGGTTGGTGAGTAGAAAATATTTTTTAATGTTTGATTGGTGAATGAAAAATATTTTTCAGAAAATATCTTTTATTTTTGGCTTGAGACTAAAAAAATACTCTTTAGGAAAATAATTTTTGATCCAAAAATCAACCTTGATAATTGATCTACGACCTGGCTCTGATAAATGTTCAAAAGTATTTTTTTTTCGAAAATATACTTTTTTTAAAAAGTAGCATATTAAAAAATATTTTCTTAATATGAGCTATACAATATTTAAAATGGATCAAGGGTAGGCATTGGAAACAGTTTAAGAAAGAATTGACAACTGTGATTTGGAAGCAATTCAAAAAAATAATTTAGATACATACATAACTTTTACGTAGATTAAGAAAAAAATTTATAAAGAAGGCAGATTACTTGAAACAATCTAGAAAAACAAGTAGGGGGAGTAAATAGTAAATATTTATATAATTACAAATTAATTATATTAAGTGTAAAATAAAAGGTTTAATTAAATTATTAAAAAGTAAATTAAAAAAGAAAAGTGTACTGAATAAAATTGGAGGAAAAGAGTATCTTTGTAGGCCAAACAGTTATTCGACTTGACATTCACGTGTATTTGTCATTTCTTGTTCACCAGAAAAATTTATGTTTAATTATTCAATATCTGAAATTTATTAATAACGTATAATTTTGTTATGGAGCTAAAAAATTCTATATTTTTAAAATTTAAATTCAAAATCTTTAATTAAAAATTTATGAATCCCGACCATTTTGGAAGCAAAGATAATTTAAAGTTCACACATATACACCCTTGAACCTCAAAGCTTGTAGATATTCTTTGGTGACTTGATCGTGAAACTGGTGGTGTATATAACTTGACATTATTCAATATTGAGAAAAGGGTCAAAAATGTCTTTTAATTATGTGAAAGGAACACAAATATCCTCCGTTTATAGTTTGGCACAAAAAGGCCCTTACCGTCAATACTTTGGTTCAAAAATGCCCTTACAGTCAATACTTTGATCTAGAAATACTCTTATAATTACTAAATCGGTCAAAAATGCCCTTTCCTAAATAAATATATTAATTTTTTTCTTTTTAAAATAATATTGAAACTTTCTCTTGGGGGAGTATATGTATTAATTAAGTTTTTTCTTCACTCCCTTGGGGAAGTATATTTATTAATCAAAACTTCTAGTTAAGAGTATAGGGATTCAAACTATTCCATCACTTTCTCTTGGGGGAAGTATATGTATTAATTAAGTTTTTTTTTCCACTCCCGTAAGGGCATGGTTGAGTGGTTCAGAGGTGGATTATTTCTCATGTGGAAAACCTAGATCGAATCCATCATCCGTATGCCACTCAGTCGTGAGCTCATTACATGAGATTTGTCTAATGCGATTTACATCTCTATGTAATTTCTAACCTATTGTATAATGAGTAGGTTATCACAACGTGCTCATCTGAAAGACAGATTTTTCCCAAAAAAAAAAGAGTTTTTATTTCATAGTGATACATTACATATGTCTTAAACCATCCACAATTTTGGAAGCAAAGATAAAAAGAAATGTTCACTTAACACACTTAGAACATCAAACAACCATAGTAAAACATTGAAACACACATAATACTATTCTTTTTTTTTTTTATGACAATTGATGATATCAAGTAGCTTTGACTGAAATAGCAGGGAAATCAAGTAGCACAGCCTTGTCAATCACAGTTGCAAAAGTGGTTGAAAATCCAGCATGATTTGGGTGACTAACAAAAGTTTGATAGTCTTCTTTGCTATTGAATGTCATTATAATAGCATGAGTGAAACCTTGTGTAAGCATCTCATGACTTTCAACATCTTTCCCCCTGCCACAAAAACATATTTGAACTATCATTTGTTTCTGTTGCGAGTTTCACATCTAAACTATTATCAGTTGTTCATTTTTCTACCTGAACTATCACCATTATGTATTGCAACACACCGCATGAGTTGAGTAGATGATGATAGTCCAGAAAAATGGAACAAATGATAGTTGGTATAGTCAGCTTTGAGGTGTGTTTTAATACATAGATGTATAGTTTGGTGTAAACTCACCAAAAAGTGATAGTTGAAGTGTGGTTTTAGATTATTAACTCTAAAAAAAATGTAGCTAGCTCATTCATTATATCATAATCTATGCTACTTGGATGCTTTAATAATGTCGTTGGATGCGTATCAGATCCTTCATAGTAACACATTTTCAAATTATCCAATACGAGTACTACAATAACTTTTGAAAAGTCTGAGCAACATAGAATTCATAACAACTATACTTCCTGCCAATTGTGTACTTTTAAAACTCCTTCGGAATACTAACACATAAATTAAAACGAATAGAGTAATTATGTTGTTGCTCAGACTCTTTAGAATATTGCCACACTCATATCGGATCTTTCAAGAAAACACTACTTTTAGGGAATCCGATATGCACCTATCAACATATTTCTGAAGAATCCGAACAACATAGATTTGACATAATATTAAAATAACTATGAGAAATATGTAATTCAAGTACTTACCAAACAAATGACTTGACAATATCCATTTCTTGGACAAGTTTTTCCAACCCTTTTAGAATATCCTCCACCACCACATCTCCTTTGAACTTAACCAAAACCAAATGCTTGAATTCATTAGCCATGTCTAGGTAGCAATTAGTAATTAACTAAATTATTACTAAACCAATGAAGCAAAATGGTTCACCAAAAGACACTTATTTATATACATAATATATCACACACACACACAAAAATTTTGTGTCAATTTCAACAGTCTGTCATCACTATACACACAATTTTTGTACCATGAAGTCAAGTCTCTCCTTTAAAAGAC